AGAGGTAGATCCAGAAGTGAGGATTCATGTACAAATGGCTTGTTTAGGAGGTACCACCAAGAGAAAGTGACACAGGGCGAGGAAAGGTGGAAGCCACGCATGGCTGGAATCTCAGAGAAAGGCTTTGGAGAGTCACATAAACCGTATCCCACAGGAACTCTGGGACGCAAGTGATGCTTTGAAGTTTTTCCCAACCTACTGCAAGGGGCTGGGTTTCATATTATTGGACCCATGTGTTTCTATCCAGGCAGAAGCTGTGAGTTTTGCTTGGTGGGTAGAACTCACAAATGCATCTAAGCTCTCTGTGAAAGTGAAGTCACTCAGTTGTGTCTGACTCTTTGAGACCCCATGGACTGTAGCCTACCAGGCTCCTCCATCCTTGAGATTTTCCAGGCAAGAATACTGGAGTGAGTCACCATTTCCTTCTCCAGGAGATCTTCCCCACCCAGGGATTGAACCCAGATCTCCCACATTGTAGGCAGATGCTTTACCGTCTGAGCCACAAGCTGAGAGAGAAGCTCTCTGTGCTGCAGGCAAATCACATGCAGCAGCCGAAGGGCAGACATTGGATAAAGAGTCACAGAGACGCATCAAGGACAGAAAGAGATGCAGGAGAAGGGACCTGACAAGATCTGGAGGAAGCACTGGCCGGGGCCACTAGACAGTACTTTTAACATGGTAGGACCAAGAAGTTCCTATCCCAAGAAATTATTTGATCAATCAAGAATGATTAAGAACAGTGTGACCACATGAAGGGTGCAGATGTGTTTTCTTGGACCTGTGTGGCCTTGTAAAAATAAAGACATTTGGGGACTTCCTTGGTGGTCCAGTGGCTAAGACTTTGCACTCCCAATGCAGAGGTCTGGTGTTCAATTCCTGGTCGGGGAACTAGGTCCCACATGTTGCAACAAAGAGTTCACACATCCAACAAAAAGACCCCTGCATGCTGTAATGAAGATCAAAGCTTCTGAGTGCCGCAACTAAGACCTGGAACAGCCAAATAAATAAATGTAAAGAAAAAAAAAACACACACAAAAATTTAAAAAATAAAAGCAAGAACATTTGATAGAAAAAAAACAAACAATGTGACCATAGATATGCTACTTACATTCTCTTCATCTCAGGCTCTTCATTGCCCAACTCAGGATTCTTGTAAGTATTATGCAAAGGAATACATGCAAAGGATTCTAATCACTACCTATAGTATCAGATTAATAATTATTAATTTAATTTTTAAAAAATCTTTCATGTTTAATATTGTAGTTTTATATTCTTGGGCAGTGGGCCTCTCTTAGTGACATAATAGTATTATACCAGATTCAAATTATATGCAGAAGATAAGAATAACACCAGGCTATATGAAGAATGTATTTTCAGTAACATATCAGAAGACTGCTAAACTGCATAAGAAAAGGAAGGGAAATAGAGCTTGGCCATACCTAATGTAAGCAAAAATATAGCTCATTTTGACACTGAGGTAGAAAAAAGAGCTAGAAGCTTGGATACCATCTGAGTTTATCATTTTGCATCATTTTAAACTCTAAATTCACCTATGGGTCAAGAAGATCTCAATCCTTTGTAGGAATTGTTATGAGAGAAAAAGCATCAATCAAGTGTAATGGAAAGAAAGAAATAGTATTTTTTAAAAAAGCAAAATATTTAAACTTAGGAGTAAGTTGTGTGTACACACTCAGTCCTGTCTGACTCTTTGTGACCCCATGGACTGTAACCTGCCAGTTTCTCTGGCCCATGGAATTTTCTAGGCAATAATATTGGAGTGGATTATCATTTCCTTCTCCAGGGGATCTTTCCAACCCAGGGATCAAACCCATGTTCCTGCACGTTCTGTACTGGCAGGCAGATTCTTTACCACTGTGCCACCCCAGGAAGCCCTAGAAACAAAGGAAACAAATGTAAATATGCTGATGTTCACGCTGTTTCCTATGCTGCATGTGATAACTTCCTGTCTCTGACTCAGGGGGTCCATGTTTTCTAACAATCCTGAAACAGCAGCGAGCTAACTTTCTAGCTTTAAAATGTGTCTTGTGTGCTCAGTCACATCAGTCATGTCCGACTCCTTGCGACCCTGTTGCAGGAAGGGGGACCCCTTCCAGGGCCCGAAACTGGGCTCTTGTCTAACACTCGGAAATGAATTGTCAGAGGAGACACATGTGCTGGCAAAGCAAGAGATTTTATTGGGAAAGGGCACCCGGGTGGAGAGCAGGAGGGCAAGGGAACCCAGGAGAACTGCTCTGTCACATGGCTTGCAGTCTCTGGTTTTACGGTGATGGGATTAGTTTCCGGGTTGTCTTTAGCCAATCATTCTGACTCAGAGTACTTCCTGGTGGTGCAGCCTTGTTCAGCCAAAATGGATGCCAGAGAGAAGGATTCTGGGAGATGGTCAGACATGTGGTGTCTCCTTTTGACCTTTCTGGAACTCTTCCGGTTGGTGGTGGCTTTTTAGTTCCGTGTTCCTTAGCAGGACCCCCTGTCATAAAACAGCTCATGCAAATGGTTACTATGGTGCCTGGCCAGGGTGGGCAGTTTCAGTAAGTGTGCTTCCCCTAACAACCCTAAGGATTGTATTCCGCCAGGCTCTTCTGTCTGTGGGATTCTCCAGGCAAGAATACTGGAGTGAGTTGCCTTGCCTTCCTCCAGGAGATCTTGCTGACCCAGGGATTGAACCCGTGTCTTTCCTGCACCTCCTGCATTGCAGGTGGATTCTTTACCCACTGAACCACCTGGGAAGCCTTAGCTTTAAAGTAGGGCAAAATAAAATTTCAGACCCAACAAAGCCTCAGTACAGGCTGCTGCTCCTGCTGCTAAGTCACTTCAGCTGTGTCTGACTCTGTGCCACCCCATAGATGGCAGCCCACCAGGCTCCTCTGTCCCTGGGATTCTCCAGGCAAGAATACTAGAGTGGGTTGCCATTTCCTTCTCCAATGCACACATGCATGCATGCCTGCTAATTCGCTTCAGTTGTGTCCAACTCTATGCAACTCTATGGACAGCAGCCCACCAGGCTCCTCCGTCCACAGGATTCTCTAGGCAAGAATACTGGAGTGGGTTGCCATTTCCTTCTCCAGTACAGGATACTTTCAAAATTGCATTAGTTGCATCAGTTGTGAAGTTTTCCCAAACTACTACCATTTAAGACCAGAAAGCTGAAAACATCCTTGAGAAAGATCAGTGTAGTCATTCATCACTGTTCTAGTCTTGCTTTTAGCATCCTTTCACACAGAGTAAAATACTTTCAGAAGAAGTAAAAAACATGTCATGGCCCTCAGTCTCCCATACCCTCAGAGAGATGTGAAACCCCTGAGAAAGCTACAATTGTATCTGAAACTTTTGGAAAGATCCCTGTAGGAGGTTTCAGGCAAGCTGATAGCTTGCATTTCCATCCATTCCCTACCAGCTTTATTTGGCTGTAGACTCAATCTTTAGACATGAATCGAGCTTTGTAGCTTCTATAGTACTCAGAGGTCCAACTTGTTAACAGACAGCCTTAGAAACTAAAACAGGGTCTGAATGAAAGCTAATAAACTGAGTCTCAAGCCTCAGCACCTCAGCTCTTTTCTAGGATATGGCATTGGTGACCGTACTAGTTTTCTTCCTTCACAGGCTGACCATTGATGAAACCCAACCATTTGCTCCCCGACAATGCCACAGTTGTGGAGCTGGCATTTTTATGTAAATAGCTGTTCTCTGATTCATTAAGCCCCGCTGCCCCTGACATTTTCCTTTCTGACCCTTATCAGCCACACACTGGCAAAACACAAAAAAATAAGAAGGACAAAGAAAGGCAATAAAAGGGTTACAAGCAAGAAGTGTATTGTGACTGTGACCAACAAGGAAATTCAGAAATGGGTGACTGAACACCCAAGGATGCCTTGTCAGTCGGTCACAGTGACAACATTTGTTCAAAGCCTGACAAGTGCTTAGCATCATTTCAAGGTGTCACATAGAGATACATAGGAAATGACGATCATAGGTGCTACCTGAAGAGCATGTAAAATGTCATGGACAAGATGGCACCATTAAATGGCTGTGTACCTGGAAACATACAATCTGGCCCTTACTTACCTCTCTACTTACTCTTTATTTCTTTCCTAGCCCCTCTACAAGCTGCTATGGTTAGTTTATATATTTGTGTTCTTGATTATAATGGCTCCCCAGAAAGGAGATTTGCCTGGTAAGCAACACTGTCCATTTCAGTTACTCTCACCCATTGGAACAGAAATTCTAGGAGAATAGGGACCATGTCTACTTTACTCACCATTGTAAACACAGAGCCTAGCAAAATGTACCTTGTAGATTCTCAAAAAAAGTTTTTTTTAGTAAGTAAAACATTAAATAAATAAGTAAAATAAGCAACAGCTATAGAGAAATTATATAACTTTATCTTCTGACTTCTGCTACTAACAGAGTTACACAAAATTAAGAGTAAACTTGGATCAAAGGCACGAGCAAAATTTTCAAAGAATTTAGATAGGAAAAAACTTTCTAGACCCTGAGGCAACTGCCTTGAAACTGACCACAGATCAGTTTCTGTGAGCACAGGCAAGATCAGAACTTCATAGATGACCTATATGTGTGAGCCACTGAACTGTAGAGTGGTACTTGGTGAAGAATCTGCCTGCAATGCAGGAGACCTGCGTTCGATCCCTGGGTTGGGAACATCCCCTAGATAAGGGAAAGGGTGCCCACTCCAGCATTCTGGCCTGGACAATTCCATGGACTATATAGTCCATGGGGTTGCAAAGGGTCGGACATGACTGAGTGACTTTCACTTGTAGCATTACTGTACCAATAACTAATATTACACTCTTTTAAAGTAATAAAAATTAATTACAGCAGAACAAACATAAAAATACAAAGATGATTCATCTTTATTGAAAGTATTTCTAGTTAAATTATTTGATTTCTCCATATTCGCAAAAGCACCTATTGTGCAGCCATATCCATGTCACTGGGGCTGAGCAGGCCTGGGTAGGATGCACTCAGAGAAGAGACATGAAGGCCATCAGCAAGCTCAGCACCAGAGCAGTAGAGTTTGCCTTTCTGGCACTGTTTGTATACCAGTATTTCTCATATACATCATCCAGGACTGAAAGCACAGCCTCCATGGTTTCCTCACAGGTGGCCTGAATCTGAGTTTCTGGCAGGACAAATCCATAGGTACCATTGTCCCTCAGTTCAAATGTGTATGAAAAGGGGATCCCAATGTCCCGAGCCCAGTCTCTTGAGGATCCTGACGTAGCATCTACAAATAAAACATGGAGGCAAAGTTAGAAGTTACTCTGGGAAAAGATAGACTTCTTTTTTTTTTTCCCATTTATTTTTATTAGTTGGAGGCTAATTATTTTACAACATTGCAGTGGTTTTTGTCATACATTGAAATGAATTAGCCATGGATTTACATGTATTCCCCATCCCGGTCCCCCCTCCCACCTCCCTCTCCACCCGATCCCTCTGGGTCTTCCCAGTGCACCAGGCCCAAGCACTTGTCTCATGCATCCAACCTGGGCTGGTGATCTGTTTCACCCTAGATAATATACATGTTTCGATGCTGTTCTCTTGAAACATCCCACCCTCGCCTTCTCCCATAGAGTCCACTAGTCTGTTCTATACATCTGAGTCTCTTTTTCTGTTTTGCATATAGGGTTATTGTTACCATCCTTCTAAATTCCATATATATGTGTTAGTATACTGTAATGGTCTTTATCTTTCTGGCTTACTTCGCTCTGTATAATGGGCTCCAGTTTCATCCATCTCATTAGAACTGATTCAAATGAATTCTTTTTAATGGCTGAATAATATTCCATGGTGTATATGTACCACAGCTTCCTTATCCATTCGTCTGCTGATGGGCATCTAGGTTGCTTCCATGTCCTGGCTATTATAAACAGTGCTGCAATGAACATTGGGGAACACGTGTCTCTTTCAGATCTGGTTTCCTCGGTGTGTATGCCCAGAAGTGGGATTGCTGGGTCATATGGCAGTTCTATTTCTAGCTTTTTAAGAAATCTCCACACTGTTTTCCATAGTGGCTGTACTAATTTGCATTCCCACCAACAGTGTGAGAGGGTTCCCTTTTCTCCACACCCTCTCCAGCATTTATTGCTTGTAGACTTTTGGATAGCAGCCATCCTGACTGGCGTGTAATGGTACCTCCTTGTGGTTTTGATTTGCATTTCTCTGATAATGAGTGATGTTGAGCATCTTTTCATGTGTTTGTTAGCCATCTGTATGTCTTCCTTGGAAAAATGTCTGTTTAGTTCTTTGGCCCATTTTTTGATTGGGTCATTTATTTTTCTGGAGTTGAGCTGGAGGAGTTGCTTGTATATTTTTGAGATTAATCCTTTGTCTGTTGCTTCGTTTGCTATTATTTTCTCCCAATCTGAGGGCTGTCTTTTCACCTTACTTATAGTTTCCTTTGTTGTGCAAAAGCTTTTAAGTTTCATTAGGTCCCATTTGTTTATTTTTGCTTTTGTTTCTAAAATTCTGGGATGTGGGTCATAGAGGATCCTGCTGTGATTTATGTCGGAGAGTGTTTTGCCTATGTTCTCCTCTAGGAGTTTTATAGTTTCTGGTCTTACATTTAGATCTTTAATCCATTTTGAGTTTATTTTTGTGTATGGTGTTAGAAAGTGTTCTAGTTTCATTCTTTTACAGGTGGTTGACCAGTTTTCCCAGCACCACTTGTTAAAGAGGTTGCCTTTTTTCCATTGTATATCCTTGCCTCCTTTGTCGAAGATAAGGTGACCATAGGTTCGTGGATTTATCTCTGGGCTTTCTATTCTGTTCCATTGATCTATATTTCTGTCTTTGTGGCAGTACCATACTGTCTTGATGACTGTGGCTTTGTAGTATAGTCTGAAGTCAGGCAGATTGATTCCTCCAGTTCCATTCTTCTTTCTCAAGATTACTTTGGCTATTTGAGGTTTTTTGTATTTCCATACAAATTGTGAAATTATTTGTTCTAGTTCTGTGAAAAATACCGTTGGTAGTTTGATAGGGATTGCATTGAATCTATAGATTTCTTTGGGTAGTATAGCCTTTTGACAATATTGATTCTTCCAATCCATGAACACGGTATATTTCTCCATCTGTTTGTGTCCTCTTTGATTTCTTTCATCAGTGTTTTATAGTTTTCTATGTATAGGTCTTTTGTTTCTTTAGGTAGATATACTCCTAAGTATTTTATTCTTTTTGTTGCAATGGTGAATGGTATTGTTTCCTTAATTTCTCAAGATAGACTTCTATAGCCATTTAAGGGACTAAAGGTTCAGCCTAGCAAAGTCAACTCTTCATACTAGGATCTATGGACAGCTGCCTTCTTCCTCTCTTTGATATTTTCGGCTCTGTCTCCACTCACCATCCCAATACCTGGCATTATGCCTGGCATATAGCAGAGGTTTGGTTAAAATTTGTTAGCTAAATCAAAGACAAGACAATCTGATATTGGATGGTAAGAGTCAACTGACATATCGGGGACAGAAACAAAGTGACCTATAGGAAAATATCATCTTGCTGGTTCTTCAGTGCTTGGAGGGGGTGGTAGCTGGGGATTGGGAAAGCAATGCACTGTTCTTTCAACTAAATTCTGTTTTAAAAAAAACTCCAGGCCCCACCTCTTTTGCTTTCTTAGCGTGATGGTCCTCTGGGAACTAAATCAACTGATCAAAGGTCACTGGAAACGGTCTTTCCTATTAACTCCTGTACCTTCTCATGGCTAGCTCTTTATAACTAAAGCCAGAAGGAGTACTGTATTAATTTTTACCTTTAGTTAGCTTGCACCTTATCCCTAGAGAACACAATTCTGGATTTGTACAGACTGCCTTTTATACTTGATCATTTTGATTTGTACAACTTCCTGTTGATCCATGGAACGTTTTTATCCTGTCCACCCCACCCCATTCCAAAGTCCACTGACTTCTTTTGTGCCTTAGATACTATTGGAGAAACAACAAAAAAAAAGATACTTACATAAAATATCTGCACTAGATCCAACTCTATAATTGGTTCCATGCTTTGCTTTCAATGCATTTGCTGCCTTCTGTCCAACTTGGATCTGTAGGTGGGAAATGCAGAGACAGATATCTGGTGTTAAAAATAAATCTAACAATCCAGAGGGTTTGCTATTTTGTCCAAATCCATCCTCTGAGTTCCAGACCATCTTTCTAACTTCCCACTGAACACCTATACCTGGGTCATCTGCTGATACTTCAGACTCAACATACTCAAATCCAGTTTCATCATCTCCTCCACTAATAAGGCTGTTTTGATTTTCATCATTCTGTCTTATCATGTGCCCCAATATGTAAATTCCGACAATCATCTTTGACTCTTCTCTCAAATGATGACCAAGCTGCACTTCTAACATCATCACTCTGTTTCAGTTTTATTAACTCTGAAATGGACTGTTGTCATCTTCATAAGTTTTCCTTCCTCTCACCTATCCTTAATCCCAGCTGATCTCCCTGACTTCAGGGTGAACCTTTGTAGAGCAGAACCATGATTATGATCCTGCTGAAAACTCTCACTGACTCTTGGTTGTCCGCTGAGTTAGGGTACACCTTTCAGTGTAGTATTTCAGATTCTCTACAATAAAGACCTAATGCACCTTTCCAGCATCACGTTCTCTTGATCCTACCCTAGATTATAGTCAAACTCCAGTTCTCTGACAGTTCCCCAGATGTGCCCCCATGTTCCTCAGCTTCTCTGCCTTTTCTCAAGATATGCCCTCTACCTGGATTGTCTCATTTCTTATCTTTGTTGAAATTGCACACCACCTCAAAACCTTCTCAAATGCCAAGTTCTCTGTAGGTCTTTCTTGAGCACCATGACTAGATTATCTCCCCCCATTTTTTTTTTCTCCCATAGCCCCTTGTTCATACTCCTCCTATTGCTTCCCTCTTATTTTTATTTAAAGTTATTTGATATTTATCTTTCGCAAGCTCATAGATGTTCAGAACAGGAAATGACACCCTTCTCCATACCTATCACCATGTCACCTGACTGCTTTGGAAACCCTTCAGAACTAGATGATGTCTAAGGTCTCAGCCTTGCTCTCTGAAGACCCTTTGATGAGATCAGAAACACTAACTGAAGTCTAAGTATATTGGCTATGTTTATTGACCATGCAATAAATCTCCTTTCATACCCTACTGACAGTCTAAGTATTCCCCACCCTAGATTCCCTAGTGCTGTATTCTAGTCACCTGATGAATTACCCCACTACTTCCCCTTGGGTTCTACATAAGACACCACGAAAATCCCCTTATCCACCACCTGCCTGGATCCACCATTCCTTCACCCCTTAGGGCAGCCAGACTACACTTTCAGGAGCATCAGTTCCTGTACTTCTTCCCTTGACCAGTGACAGATCTTGTTTTAGAGTCTGTCTTTTTTCCCCCTGCTCCTGTACTGACCCACTGAATCCTAATGTGTGACAGTGTGGTGTTCGGGTAGAGTGGATTTAGGCACAGTGGCATTCAAAAGGAAAAGCAGGAGAGGTAATAAGTGGCGGTAGGGTTCCATGCAACAGTGGTAAGACTTGGAACTTTAAATTGAACATATTTGCAAGCTTTTTGCCTCCTCTCCACTCACTACTGAGTTTTACATTCTCTCTCTCTTCTGGAAAGATTCTACATCTGCCCTAGTTCCTGGTTCCTAGTTTCTGTTCCTGTCTCCAGAACTGAACTGATGGGTAGGAAGGGTTAAATAAGTGCAAAGAATAAATCTGGTTTTAATCACTTACACTGGAAAGAAGTTGTTGTCTTTGTTGTTCAATTGCTAAATCATGTGTGACTCTTTGTGACCCGCCAGGCTCCTCTGTCCATGGGATTTTTCCAAGCAAGAATACTGGAGTGGATTGCCATTTCCTTCTCCAGGGGATCTTCCTGACCCAGGAATTGGACCCTTGTGTCCTTTATCGGGCAGGCCAGTTCTTTACCACTGAGCCACCAGAGAAGCCTCTGGAAAGGGGTACAAGAGCTGTCTGCAGAAAGAAGAGGAAATTATAAGAAGGAGAAGAGAGTCAGAGAGGAGAGAAAAATTTTTCTGGAGAGAAAAATTCCATTAAGGAAATCAGAAAGAAGAGTAGAGAGAAAGGAAGGAATCAGGGTAGCTGCTATGTGTGAGTGAAATTAAAACACACACCCTGGAGAAAGAGTTGCTAAAATTTAGCAGCTCACTCCTTTTTGTAGTTCTTTGGGAGTCTCTGGTAGAGATATGAATTGCTTTTAATTATTCTTAATTCCCATGTGTTTCTGTGTTTCTTTGAATGAAACTCTGCTAACTTGTCCATGTGGGGTCTTAACCGTTATTTGGTTTGTATGGCGCAGCTCCAGGCTACATTTTCTATTCAGATGGGTTCTTGCACTCATTTTTTCTTTATTGCAACTCACTCCAGACCAAGATTCCTTCTTCTCACGGCCAAATTTAATTTTATATAGTTCCCTCTCCTTAAATCCTGCCTATTGTGTGGGAAAGAGTCTTTCCAGTTTCCTTTTCTTTACTGACAAAAGAACTTGTGATTTTTTTAAAATGATTACACCAGGAATTACAATGGATAAGTAGATAGGAATAGGAAATATAACATCTATGAGAAGCACACAGCTGTGATACTTAGCTTATGGGTTTGGTCCTTTCTGAAAAGATGAAATATTATTTCCCTATCTCTAGGGGTCGACCTCCTGATTATTCTTCTGCCTCCTTTTGACACTATACTGCAAGGCCATAGAGAGCCAGTTCCTCTGCTGTCCTTCTTCTCAGCCTAAAGTTTCCTTCTAGTCAAAATAATAAAAAAATCTCTTTGCTAATAGTGTGTAATTTACACTGTTAAAGACCTCATGCATGCTTAATAACTTCTTTCCTGGACTCAGAGAGTTTCCTATAGGCATATATTCACAGGCAAGCACTTAGCAAGATTGATCAAGGCCCTGGCATCTGTGTGGGAAGATGGAACTTGGAATGGGATACAGGGGTTGATATGGAAAGAGTTCAAATGGAAAGAATGTCAGCATTTGAAATATTAGACTTCTTATAGCTATTCTAATTTCCAGAGAAGTTTTGAATGAGGCTATATATAGTTCTATTTCCCCTACTTAGTGATTGCCAAGTTGTCTATCATGCAGTACAATATTTATCATGATTTCTACAAATTTTTGGTTTTGTAAATACATAGAGATTAATTACTAGTCTCTGGTGGTTGCAAATACACCAGAAATGGAAAACTCCTGGAACAGTTGGTATGATTCTGTCTTTGTGGGCTCTATCAAAGCTTACCACTGAGAACCTAAAAACACTGCTAACTAGCTTCAATGAATTTGACACATGGCGGCAACATTTTCTGACTTTTTACAGAGAAGTCTAGGTGATGAATGTTATGCTAACTTTTTAACACCTGATACTGTAAGAGACACAGAATTGAAACAATGTTTGTCAATTCAATTTTCTAATCTCCACATAGAGTATTAAGGATTGCCAGTAATTCTCATCTTAGAGTTCCACCTTCCGCTAGTGGTAAAGTCAGTGCCCACTCTGTGGTCAGAGGTTTTTAAGGAGACAGCCATCAGTAGCTCAAGACCCTGTGACCTTTGAATGCAAACCTTGCAACATGGTGATGTAGTATTTGTTTTCCTGGACCAAAAAAGGGAATGAAATTGCCTAGAAAAATACTGGGATGTATGAGCCAGTATTTTTTTTGCTGGTAGAAGACCTGTCGCACCAAAGATCTACAATGGCCTGTCTATGGTGGTTCATTTGTATTCGTCACAGAATCCTTTAAGAGGAAATCAAACGCCTATGGCGACATGGTTGGATAGTATCATTGACCCAATGGAAGTGAGTTTGAGCAAACTCTGGAAGATAGTGAAGGACAGGGAAGCCTGGTGTCGTCCATGGGGTCACAGAGAGTCAGAAACAACTGAGCGACTGAACAACAACAACAATGGCAAACATCACGGGAACTGGGAGATAAGGAAGGGTCTGGGCTTCTTGACTGAAATCCCTGTTTCTGTACATTACTGAAGAAATAGAATTTCTGGAGCACAGAAATGAGGAGAATATAGGACACGGTGACCCAGGCATCAAAGTCAATGACAGCTTCCAGAAGCTGCAAACCCTTCTTAAGTGGAGAGGAGAGGCAGTGTCTGGTGGCCTGATGAATGTGACCCTTGGAATCTGAAGATGTGAGCTCCAACCCAGACTCCACCATTTACCGTCTACAGGGATTTTAAAAATACTATTAACTCAAGGTCTTAATTTCTGCATCTCCAAAGTGAGCTTACTATTTTGTCATGAGGATCAGATTAGGGCCATAAAGTCTCCTTGTAATTTTTCAAGTTCTAGGTAAATGTTATTTCTACCTCATACAAAATAATCAGGTAGTACAAATGCCCAAAAACAATTGTGGAAAGACACTGTGGTACTGTTGGTTATTTTTTTACTACTGCAGGAGGTATTCCCCTCAGCAAAGATCTACAGTGGTTTTTCTTGTAGAGCCCCGACATGTGTTTTATAAGCGATGTTCCAGGGGGTGAGAGACAAGAAGAATGACAGAGTCCATGGGCCGCCAGCCTTCTGTGATCTTAAGAACAGAGCAAGCCAGGCCCTCATCCAGCCCAGCATTTGTTGATAATGAGAAACTTGTTTAAAAAATACTTTTAAAGGGTATACAGAAAATAACAAGTGTTGGTGAGAATGTGGAGAAATTGGAACTCTTATTCACTATTGGAGGGGATGGAAAATGGTGTAGTTGCTCTGGAAATGATGGTTCCTCAAAAAGTTGCAGATAGAATTACAACATGATTCAGCAATTCTACTTCTGGATGTGCCATGTGCTCAGTTGTGTCTGACTCTTTGCGACCCCATGGACTGTAGCCTGCCAGGCTCCTCTGTCCATGTAGTTTTCCAGGCAAAAATACTAGAGCAGGTTGCCATTTTCTCCTCCAGGGGATCTTCCTGATCCAGGGATCGAAACTGCATCACCTGTGTCTCCTGCATTGCAGGCAGATTCTGAATTGAAAGCAGGGTCTCAAGGAGATATTTGTACACTTGTGTTCATAGCTGCATTATTTGCAATAGGTAAAAGATGGAAGCAATTCAATTGCCCATTGATTGATGAATGAGTAAAGAATATGTGGTACATACATACAATGGAATATTATTCAACCTTGAAAAAAGGAACTTCTGACACATGGTGCAACGTGTATGAAGCTTGAAGATATTATGCTAAGTGAAATAATCCAGTCACCAAAAGGACAGATGCTGTAAGATTCCACTTATATGAGCCACCTAGAGTAGTCGAACTCAGGAGTCAGAGAGTTAAAGTGGTGGTTGCCAGAGACAAGGTGGATCTGGAGTTGTTTGACAGGTAGAGATATTTGATGATGCAAGGTGAAAGTTTTGAAGATTGGTTGCACAATAATGTGAATATACTTAACTACTGACCTGTCCACCTAAAAATGGTTAAGATAGTAAATTTTATGTTATATCTATTCTACCACAATTAAAAGTTGAAAAAATAAATTTTAGAAAAAGATAACAAATACTACAACAATTCTAAATTGACCCTTTCTTTGACTTACGTGTATTGTTCTCAGGTTTACAAAAGGGCAAGAGCCCAGTACTTTCCAGCAATTCTGCCCACCAGGGCTTGGGTAAATAGAGCTTCAGAAAAGGACCCCAGATAAGACAAAGCAGAATTTCCCTGCCCCGGCTTGAATTTCACTGGCACTTCCCCTTACAAATATTCCTAGCCAAAAACTAGAGGCAGAGTTCAGGAGGAAATAAAACATTGTGTTGAGCAGAGAAGAGAGCAGATATTATTTAGCCATGTTATTTTAGATATGCCATATTCCACTAACAGCTGGCAAGCTCTTTAAAGCACAGTTCAGAAGCTATAATTGCTGAACTGAGCTTCAAGAGAATTTACAGAAATGAAAGCACATTCCTACAGATTATTAACATAATCATCTCATTTATATTATACATGAATACCTAAGATGTCTCCCAACTTGACACTTTTCGAAACAGGTAGTTAATTAATGTAGGTAAAGCAGCATTTAACCTGAAGCCTTCCCAGCAGGCATCTGGCAAGGTGAGAAAAGCAGGAGAAAGAAAGTAAGGAAAAGCAGAGGGAATAAAAGCAGGGCTGGAGCCAAAATCCTATTAAAGGAAACGAGGGGGGAAAGGAAGGCAGAGTCCTATTGAGGCTTCTCAGGGCTCCGGCACCATGTATGGGCTTACCAGTTCTTCATGGTTATTTGATTTATTTTTGGTATAGCCATAAGGCACGAGAATGAGCTGTCCATAAGAGTGCATGGTCAGGAAGCAGGCAATGTTCTCCTTCTTGCTCTCGATAAAGCTGGAAACAGCTTTCGTCTCTGGTTCAGACGCAGGTCCTGTTCCACAAAATGTTAAACTTTCACAGTCGGTAGTTGCACCAATACCTGAAATAAACAGGAAACCCCAAGGAAGGCATCATGGTCTCTGTTTAGCACTGACCTGGGTGGAGGTTGAGATGGAGGGGGGTTGGGTTGCGAGGAATCACTCTTACTCAGGGCATCTGTGGGTGGAATCAAGGCTTGTCTTTGCTTATCTAAGTTTGTCCTGGTTAAATAAGTCATTTAAGGAGGAGCATAGAAAGGCAGGAGGGCTGATGTTCAGATTTAGAAACAAACTCCCTGCTTATGTGGCTGGGGAAGGAAGATGCAAAAAGGAAGAGCATTTTCAGCCATCTTTCACTTAAATTTTTGGTGAACCCTGAAGCAAATGCTTGGGAACCAGTTCTTGGGTCCCAGGGTCAGCCTCTGTCATAGTCTTATTGTCCTAAGTTTCTCTTGCTGTTTTACTGGCATGAGTCTCTCTAGAGCTATTTTGCAAGGATAGAAAAACAGTTATTTTCAGTCAGTTGTCCTCACCACTAATAATAAGGACCATCAAGAGCACCTTTTCCATGCTGGGCACTGTACTCAGCCCCTCCTGTGAGACATCTGGGAAATGGGATATTTCCTGCCATACCAGTAAACAAGGATATCACAGTCATCACAACTGCAGCCCTCCAAGGTGAGCTGAGCCTTGAGGGAACTCGGGAAGGGGAAGAATACTTGCCATCTAGCACCCATCAGAATGCAGCCACTCTCTGCAGTGAGCCCCAAGGAAGCTCAGGAGGACGAAAACAGACAATTCTGGCCCCAGATAGCTGAGGTGCACATCAAAGGAGATCTCAGTGGGTCCAGACGCTTGCATCTTCCCATACACAGAAAGGGTTAAATTCCATATCTTGGTATATCTGGTTTTCTTTCATTAACAATAACATTTTGACCTTCAGATCACCTGCTCTTTATTGTGAAACTCTACATAAACCTGGCTTTTCCCCTCACCTGCTCAGAGCAGTTCTCTCAAGGTCGCTTCACACACTGTCTCCCAGGCTTGAAATCCTAAAAATTCTCACCGAACAAAACATAATTCTCAACTTTAAGGTTGTGAATATTTTTCAAGTTGGTACATCTCATTGAATCCCCACAACAACCTCCTGATAAGATGGTATTATGTTGAGCCACATTTTTTTTAAAAAAACAGAAAACTAAAGCTGAGAGAGAGAGCAATTTTTCCAAGATCACCCAGCCACCAAATCTGAACCTTTGTCATCTGGTTTTTAACCAGACTGCTCTTAACCATCCTTATTTCTATTTGCTTCCAATATATTGAGTGTGTTCGGATTCAGAAACATGAAAATGCCTTAATGAGAAGAAAATGTTTATCTTGTTCTGCCCTCATGTTGTAAAAAATATCTGCAAGGATAATCCTCTGACTTATCTTTATAACAATTCATAAAGAGATTCTTGATGAAGGTGAAAAAGCAGAGTGAAGAAGCTGGCTTAAAACTCAACATTAAAAAAACTAAGATCATGGCATCTGGCCCCATCACTTCATGGCAAATAGATGGGGAGACAGTGGGAACAGAGACAGACTATTTTCTTGGGCTCCAAAATCACTGTGGATGCTGACTGCAGCCATGAAATCAAAAGACATTTGCTCCTGGGAAGAAAAGGTATGACAAACCTAGATAGCATATTAAAAAGCAGAGACATCACTTTGTCAACAAAGGTCCATATAGTTTCCAATAGTCATGTACAGATGTGAGAGTTGGACCAAAAAGAAGGCTGAGCACCAAAGAACTGATGCATTCAAATTGTGGTGCTGGAGAAGACTCTTGAGAGTTTCTTGGACAGCAAGGAGACCAAACCAGTCAATCCTAAAGGAAACAAATCCTGAATATTCATTGGAAGGACTGATGCTGAAGCTGAAGCTCAATACTTTGGCCACCTGATGTGAAGAGCCGACTCACTGGAAAAGACTGATGCTAGGAAAGACGGAGGGCAGGAGAGGAAGGGGGCGACAGAGGGTGAGATGGTTGGATGGCATCATTGACTCAATGGACATGTGTTTGAACAAACTCGGAGACAGTGAAGGTCATGGAAGCCTGGCATGCTGCAGTCCACGGGGTCACAAAGAGTCAGACATGACTTAGTGACTGAACAATATGAACAAAGTGATGGATTTCAAACATATTCACACAGATCAAACTCATCGTTGCCCTTTTTTAGGCAATCTCACTTGAAAAGAGTCCTGCATATGAGTGTGGCTGTTCTTATTGCATAGATAATATCATCTCTTTAGACAGAGTAACACTGACCAGGAAGTCCAGAAAGCTGTACAAAATTTGATGTTTATTTCAAAAGTTGCATATATAAATTATACTAACTCTACTAATGCACATATATAAATAGTACTAGCTCTAGTAATGCATGTCTTTCCTGGCTTCTCTGCTCCATTTTTTTGTTTTTTGTTATTCATCTACGTACTAAGGATGTACTTAGTAAGCGTGTACTTACTGCACCAGGATGCATCAAAGTTTCGATTGAGATCTGTTCCAAAACACGTGCCGTTATTATGGGATGAACGGGACTTCCTCCAAAGCCGATCCTGTAACAGGGAAACAAACAGGGATGTTGTCATTCTAAGGTCTCATAAATCACAGTGTTAGTGATGATGGGTGGTCCTCGAACATGAAAGATAGTTCCTAGGATTGTCTGGAAGAACCTGCCTCAACATTATGAAGCTAGTGCATTTAGTTTTTAGTGCCCCAGATGGGTTAGTAACCCCCAATAACAGGAACATCTGCACAACCCTAAGTGTACATGTGGGTAAACCATCACTTTGGAGGGGTAATTTGGCCTCTCCCTCATGGGCGGATTAATAGTGCCTGGTGGATGTAATATGCTTAATCACGAAAAGCTTCAGAGAGTCATTTTTTTAGGTCCAAGTGATAAAGAATGAAAGAGAAATGGCTTGGCAGATGGAAAAAGGCTCTTCCAGGTGCATCAGAGATGGTTTGTGCACATTTCTGGAGGCAGACAACTGACGAGTAGAGATAGGGCTAAAGACATGTTTCACCAGACAAGCCGGGAGGGAAGGCCTTGATTTATACTGCGCCAGAGAGGCCGTTACAGAAAAAGGGGTCCCTTGAAAGTCTGGGGGAGCCGGAAGAAGTGGGAGGAATGAAGACTCCCTAGAAACAGGGGCTCTGACTTCTGGGGCAGTATGCTTTAGAAACATTTTAAAAGAGGAAGTTGTCTATTAAATAAAAATCTTGGATCTCCCTGGTGGTTTAGCGGATATGAATCGGCTTGTCGATACAGGGTTCAATCCCTGGTCAGGAAGACCCCCACATGCCACAGAGCAACTAAGCCTGTGCCCCGCAGCTCCTGAGCCTGGGCACCCGCAAGTCTGTGCTCGGCGACAGAAGCCACCGCAGTGATAAGTCCGCACACAGCAATGAAGAGTACCCCCAGCTTACTGCAACTAGAGCAAGCCTGCACAGAGCAACAAAGACCCAGCGCAGCCAAAAAAAAAAAAGATAATGTTATGAGATGTTCCCCTGCCCCCAACTCCATACGCATGACCATCATGGGAAAATAAAGGTTGGGTTAGAATTTATAGATTATTTGTGCCACTTGTGTTTCAAGAACTGATATAAGGATACACGGTAGTATGGGAATTTTATACCAACATAATCCTTATCAGGTGACAGGCAATCCACAAATTTTATTTTCTTTTATTTTTCATTTATTTTTATTAGTTGGAGGCAATCCACAAATTTTAAGGAGATGGAGTTGAAGAAACATTAAGTCTGAAAAACTGGGAATATGTCAAAAACAAACAAAAAAACATGTTCAAAAAAGGCCTTCAGCGCCCCCAGTCCTTAGATTGTTGACTTACAAATGTGGATTTTAATCCCAAATGAGGTTTCTTCCTTTAAATGACCACAAAACATTTTTATAGTTGCAGTGACTGAAGTCAGAAAATGAACCTGAATCAAGATCTAGTTTGTGTCCTATCCCAGGACCAAACTCAATGTACTCACAGTCGTCCAAGTGTAGATATAACCATCTATGTTAAGAACTGGAAGCACACAGAAGTCCAGGTTTTTAAGGAGCCTTCTTATCCTTTGGTTGTCTTTATAGTTCTGTAGAATCTGGACATTTAATAGAAAAATGTTTGGAATGATCCTGGTAAGAGGTCTTTTCTCTCAATTTTCTAACAATTTCAGCTTAATCGTAGGAGGTGAGTGTGCACTGGCCTTTGCCCATCAATCCTGCCTCAATTGTCCTGTTCAATGTTGTGGTCTTTCTGAAACCTCTGCATGCATCAGAATCACCCCACCTGGCTACACACTCCCATCTCCACCCCCAGCCCCAATTCACTAGGTATGAGGTAGTGAGGTGGAAACCCAGAATTTGCATTTTGAACAAGTTCCCAGTTATGTTGATGCTATGGGTCTAGGAACCAGACTTTGAGAACTACTCCTCGTGGATGGCATCCTGTTTGGGCTTCTGAAAAGGCTTGACACAAAAGTATCTTATACTAATTTTAAAGTCTTTTTCCCTACGGAGGGGTAATATGTGAGGATTCACGGTGCAAGGTATTGATAGTTTCTATGTGTTAATCTCTTAATCCACACAACAGGCACTGAAGTAGTCATTTCACACACTTTTTACAGGTGAAAAACTAGGGGTCCTGGTGTTAGAAATTGTGCACCAGACTGTTAGAAAGAGATGGCTCTGGGATTCAGACTCATCTCTGACTCCCAAGATGTTATTTTCTTCTCCATTTACATTTGTTTACCTTCCAATAAAAGTGATTTTGGGTGCACTAGAAAGACAACAGAACATCTAACTCAGTTTTCAGTGAACCTACTTATGAATTCCATTCACTTTCAGGTGAAGGAGCAGTTCAGTGGAGAGCTGCCTTGCCGATGTGTGGAAAGAAACATGCTCTCCAAATAGCTGAGACGTGACAGGTGTTTTGTAGGGTAGTTAGCCACCTGGTGGCTCAGACAGTAAAGAATCCGCCTGCAATGTGGGAGACATGGGTTCAGTCCCTGGGTTGGGAAGATCCTCTGGAGGAGGGCATGGCAACCCCCTCTAGGATTCTTCCCTGGAGAATCCCCATGGACAGAGGAGCCTGGCAGGCTACAGTCCATGGGGTTGCAAAGAGTCAGACACGACTGAGCGACTAAGCACAACTAGCCATTGTAAAGAAGTTAAAAACACTTACTTCTTTCACAAACCACTGGCAGAAAGCAGGGGCAATCCATTCCCTGGCATGAATTCCACAGTCCATCCAAATAATCTTCTTGGGGTTATTGGATGGTTGGCTGATCTGGAGGGGACATTTGTGTTCCATTATCAAACAATTGCTTATGATTGCAAGCCACTGTGAAAAGTTATTAGATTTTCTTTTATTCCCCTCCATTTTATTCTGTCTCCCTCCATTCTGTGGTTTCAAGGATGAGGCAAGGCTTCTGGCAAAGACACCCACCAATATGACCCTCCTATGGTTACACTTGCCCTCTTTCGGTTACCTTGATTGTTGTTCTTAGGACAGCTTACTGACTTCCCTGTGTCTCCTTCACAAAGCCTGGTCTCCCCTTTACCTTAAATTATTCCCTAACTTTAAATAAAGGCTAAAACTTCCAAGCCACAAACTGTCATGCTAAATTTCTATAAACCTTATGAAACCTTCCCACGTAGAGTTCACTCACAGTGAAAAAGTACACAAGTAGTAACATTCAAGAATCAAAAGAAGTAAAATTGAATCCCAGTCTACATTTAAGGACTTCCCCCAATGGTTCAGCAGTAAAGAACCCCCCTGCCAATGCAGGAGACATAAGAAACACCGAATCGATCTCTGGGTTGGGAAGATACCCTGGAGAAGGAAATGGCAACCTGCTCCAGTATTTCTGCCTAGAAAATCACATGGACAGAGGAGCCTGGCAGGCTATAGTTCATAGGGTCGCAAAGAGTCAGACATGACTGAAGTGACTTAACATGCACACATGCACTTTAAACTTCTTGAAAACTGTGAAAGGATCCAAATATACAATGTCCTGAAATACTTATTAAATTCATTAATTTCTTCTTTCCTTAGAGACTCCTCCAGTACCAGTTGACCCAGTCTTCTTTCTCCTCTTCCTACTTGTTTTTGTCTATCAGGTCAGCCTCACTCAAGCAATAGAGAGCCTCTCCTCTTTCGGGGCAATTATGGATTAACCTGGCAATTAAAGATTCTCTTTGATGGAGAAATTGTGAACATGCCCATGTTTGTAACAGTCACATCTGGTTCTGTTTTGTAAATGTCCTGGACTCTTGATCATTGAAAGCTCTCGGGAGTTGGACTGATGAAGGTTCTCCCTCTGTATCTATGAGAAAGTTACAAATTTTGAAATATGCAGCTTGAACTCATCATATTCAAGGAATTTTTCCTTTTAGCCTCACCCATTTTCAAAGCTCCTAATCTACCTTTTACCTTAAATTCTGCCTTATAATTCCCTCTTTTATGAGTGTATATATATATGACCATAAGTTTATCTTTATTGCCTCCTTATTACATGCCAATTCTCTTTTAAAAAAGATGTCCTGTGCAAAGGATGTTTAGATGTCTTCTTGGCTGACTCAGCTCAGCTTGACAGCCTATGGAAAGTCACATAGGTAGGTGGCCCACATTTAACATAGCAGTCAACTCCTCGGTAAATTCTGTTTTAAAGTCAATAGACTTTTTTGTAACTGTGGGTAACTAAAATTTGAGGATGTGCTTTGCAAAATAACATGTCTATAATAAGTAATAAGAGGACAGCAAACAAATAATGCTAGTTTGTAATGCCAAACTGCTTTGGTGGTGGTTCTGGAAGAGCAGTCCTGGGCCAGTGATATCAGCACCAGCTGGGAACTTGTTAGAAATGCATTGTGGTCCTGAAACTTGTGCATGGGGTGTGCCTAGTTGCTCAGTTGTGTCCAACTCTTTGTGACCTCATGGACTGTAGCCCACCAGGCTCCTCTGTCCATGGGGATTCTCCAGGCAAGAATACTGGAATGGGTTGCTATGCCTTCTCCAGGGGATCTTCCCAACTCAGGGATCGAACCCAGGTCTCCCACATTGCAGGTGGATTATTTACCATCTGAGACACCAGGGAAGCCCTCTGAAACTTGAGTGTGCATCAAAGTGGCCTGGGGGAGGGCTTGTTAAAACACAGATTGCTGGGCCCAACCCCAGAGTTTCTGATCCAGTAGATCTGCAGTTAAGCCTAAGCATGTGCATTTCTAACAAGCTCCCAGGTGATGTTGATGCTGCTGGTCCAGGGCCACCCTTTGAAAACCCGCTAATTAAGTACAGCAGTCATCAACCCTGCCTGTACCTTAGGGTCATCTAGGGAGCTTTCAAGGGGTGCCTGGGACCCATCCTGGAGCAATTAGCTCAGAATCTTTGTGAATGGGACCCAGGCATCAGTATTAAGTAATCAGGATTGAACAATCACTGGTCCGTATCTGAGAGTCTATGGAAAAGTGGTCAATCAGCCTCAAACACTTTTCATTATGTCATATGCAAAAGGGGCAGAGAACTTTGGGACTGGCTTATTCCTCTGGCTATGCTATGATCTGACATTGTGACTTTGCACAAGTCACTTTACTTGTCTGGGTCTTTGTTCCCTCATAAAATGAGGGAACCAAAAATAAAGATTGTCCATAATGTTCAAATATTTTTTACGGAAAATAATGTGTTAAAGAAAGCTGAGTGCCGAAGAATTGATGCTTTTGAACTGTGGTGTTAGAGAAGACTCTTGAGAGTCCCTTGGACTGCAAGGAGATCCAACCAGTCCATCCTAAAGGAGATAAGTCCTGAATATTCATTGGAAAGACTGATGTTGAAGCTGAAACTCCAATACTTTGGCCACCTGATGCGAAGAACTGACTCATTTGAAAAGGCTCTGATGCTGGGAAAGATTGAAGGCGGGAGGAGAAGGGGATGACAGAGGATGAGATGGTTGGATGGCATCACTGACTCAATGGACATGAGTTTGGGTAAACTCCGGGAGTTGGTGATGGACAGGGAGGCCTGGCATGCTGCAGTCCATGGGGTCACAAAGAGTCGGACATGACTGAGTGACTGAACTGAACTGAATGTGTTAAAAAACAATTTTGTAAAGACTCAAAAGCATGAAAAGTGAACTGGGGATTTCTCCCTTCTGCAGACCATCCTTCCTGCCCCCCGCCCACCCCAACTGTGGGAACACTGCCTTCACAGAACACAGTCTGGAAACCGCTCAGCCAGAATGTCTTAAGTTCTTTTCAGCCACCATCCGCAATTCTAAGTTCCTCAGTTTTAGCAGGGACAAGGGAGGTACAGCAGGAAGGAAAACTAAGGAGTAAGTTCTTATTTCTGGGCCTTAGGTAGTGCAGTGGTAAAGAATCCTAGTGCCAATGAAGGAGTCTGAAGAAATGCAGGTTTGATTCCTAGGTCAGGAGCATCCCGTAGAGAAGGTAATGGCAACCCACCCCAGTATTCTTGCCTGGGAAATTCCATGGATGGAGGAGCCCAGTGGGCTACACGGGGCTGCAGAGTTGGACACGACTGAGCGACTGAGCAGGCAAGCCCATGGTGTCACACAACCATTCCAAGTTCTCTTTGCTTCCAAACATGATTCCACTCAGGTGATTAATATGTAAGCATTTACAAGTTGTTAATTTTAAAAGCCTAGTTTGGGGTGGAAAAGTCACCATCTCTCTGTCCTGTCTCTTTAACCTTGTCCGTACTTGTGACTAGAGCCCTTGAATAGTAAGCAAATATCCTTGGGTAAAGCTGTAACTCTCAGCCTTCTCACTCACCTTCAAATAATACATGGGCCGGCTCTCATAGGTCATTCCTAGGAAATGCTGTGTCACCACTTCGGTGTACTTCTCCCTTATCTCACTCATCCACTGGTAGATCTGAAACAGCCAGGGAGGACTGAGGTTATCAATTAGAAGATCCTTTGCTTGCCTCTAATTAAGATAATTGTTTCTTTCATCAAGGTACTGAACTTTCAACTCTTGGCTCTTCATTAGCACACAAATGAAAGACAACCAATGAATTATAACTGTCCCTTCTCCCCTTTTCTTTACCACCACCCAGGCTAGGACAGCCTGTTGAACTTCACAAATAAATGATTGAGAATGATCAAGTTCAACAATGCAGAATAACACTTCCGAAACATTGTCCAATCACACAATCTTCAAATAGCCACCAGACTTCTGGACTTTGCTGTGGCACTCAATCATGCCAGAAATTTCAGGATAAGCTTATTTTGTGGGATCTTCTTTGAATCCCCAAAATATCCTTTGTTAATGTCCATGAATTGAAAATTAGAGTAGAGTCTGGGTATGCCCCTTCACAGAACAGTGAAATTTCTAAATCAAGACCAAGTTAATAACTTTAAGGAGAGAATGAAATAAGGTCCTTTAAGGGTCCTTTAAGGAAGAATTAAATAAGCAATTAACCAAGATAAGACATATTAGGACAGTCCTCAGCATATGATACCCTCCACATTCAATTTCTGTATAGTAGAATTATCTGAATGATAAGAATTATGGTAAATGATAATAATTAATTTGGCATAACAAATTCTATTTGGATTTCTGTGTCTCAATTGACTTTGTCTCAATTCTGACACAAATTTCTGTATTCAATTGACTTTCATCTTAGCATGGAATATCTATGGATAAAATGCATTATTATATGAGGGAAGAGATTAACAACTCATCACATGGGTACTATATGCTTTTTTGTGATGAGACTGGATCAGATGCAGGTGCCCTGAGTCCTGGGAGAGATATAAATAGCACATCACAGTTGCAGCTATCATTTTATTTATTGCTTCATCAGTAAAAGTGTAGCCTATTTCATTTACTCTCACAACCAAACTGCAGGAGAAGTACTGCTATTCCTTTTTCATGTATAAGGAAACTGAGGAACAAAGAGATTAAATGTCTTGGACAAGGTCACAGAGCGCGTAACCAGGCCAAGTATATCTCATCTCTGATACCAGCACATACACTTCTCGGGTCTTACTGGATCTTGTTAGAAAAAAAAAAATCTAAGAGACTTTAGTATTTTGGGGTGATGTTACAAAAGAAAGGGTAAATTTTTTCTTGTACTCTTTGGAAAAAAAATATGGAAAATATTAATATATTCCCCAAGACTGAGGAAATAAGTGGCAAAGCCTGGCTGGAGGGCAACTTGGGCATTTATATAAAAAATGTAAATGATTGTTTAACCCAGAAATTCTATTTTTAGAAATTTATACTTCAAAAGAAGTGTTACATAATATCACATGCATACATACACTGCATATATGCATATATACTTTTTACTGTATCCAGTTTCAGAAACCACTCAACATATCTTCATAGCAATACAAATATTTCTTTTGAGAGAGGTTGCCTATGTTTCTTCTATCCTACTGGAAATATCACTCTTTTAGCTAAACAGGATTCAATCAGAAGGCTTCTCCACCCGTGTTTTATATCCATATACACACTGATCCTGCCCTACTTAAAGCAGCTAAAAGACTTGATGAACAAGAGTAACATTTAATTTTGACCCATGTTTACACTAGAAAAACTGGGGCATTCTTTTCCATTTTTTTTCTTTTGGTTGTTGATTTACCTTTTTATTTCTATCACTAGATTTGTATCTGTAATGGTGATGGTCACAGAATGATGTTTGTGAATCCCTTGACCTCAGTGCACAAACAAATCTCAGCTTCTCATTTTGAGGCCCTCTGGTCTGCAGATATTAACAGTGAACTATCCCTTGCCCACCATAAAGCAGTTGCAACTACCACCAACCCCCCTACCATGCGTCCGTGCTCACCTCCCCCATGGGGTGGTATCTGTTATAAGAATATGTCTCCAGGATCCTCCATGGACTCGCTACTTTATCCACACCTTCTTGTCTCTGTTGTGTGAGGGATCTGCAAAGACAAAAAGCAGCAATGAAACCAGGATATCATGAGGGTTGGAAGGTTGATGATAAAAGTAATGGAAACCAACATGTACAGCACCTTGAGGACAGAAGTCAGTCCTCAAGTCTCGCCTCTGCAGCTTACTCTCTGTGAGACCATGGGTACCACTTAGCTCCTCTGAACTGCAGTTTCTTCACCTGCAGGTTGGGGACAGCCATTCCCACTTTGCAGGGAGGCTGGGATAATTCAGCAAGATGTTGTAGATAAGAACACTTTTTAAATGTGTAAAATAAAGAATAAGGTTTATTGAACTGAAACTTACTGTGAGACAGTCATTAGATTCACCAATTTAAATCTCTCACTTTTGTGGAAAACTCTAAGATGAGGTATTCTTTTTTTTTTTTGGCTACATCCTGAGGCATATGGAACTTTTGTTCCCAGACCAGGGATTAAACCCATGTTTCCTGAACTGGAAGGTGAAGTCTTAGCCACTGGACCAAGTCCTAAGGTAAGGTATTCTCTTTTTAAAAAGATAATTTTATGTATTTATTTTTGGCTGCACTGGGTCTTTGTGTTGCTACAAGTGGGCTTTCTCTAGCTGCTGTGAGCAGGGGCTACATTCTAGTTGCAGTGCTGCTGTTTCTCATTGCAGTGGCTTCTCTTGTTGCAGCTCCCAGGTTCTAAAGCACAGGCTCAGTGATTGTGGCACACGGGCTTAGCTGCTCCACAGCACGCAGAATCTTCCCAGACCAGGGATCAAACTGTGTCTCTTATATTTGCAGGTAGATTCTTTATCACTGAGCCACCAGGGAAGCCCCGAAGTATTCTTATTACCCCCATTTCAGAGATGAAATTGGGTCACAGGGAAAGTATTGTTAGGACTTAAACTCTGACAGCCTGAGTGAAAAGGCTGAAGTATTAACCACAATACTGTATACAGTTGTAAGAACCTTAATGCAGTGGTTTATATTTTTTTAAAACAAGCTTTGTTTTTTAGAGGAGTTTTAGGTTCACAGCAAAATTGGATGAAAAATACTGAGAGTTGCTATATACTTACTGTTCCCTGCCCCCTCCGACACACACAACCTCCCCCATTACCAACATCCCACCCCAGAGCAGTCTATTTGTTATAATAAACCTACATAGACACATCATTATTTCCCAAAGTCCATAGGTTACATGAGGGTTCACTCTTGCTGTTGTACATTCTATGGATTTGGACAAATGCATAATGATGTGTAGCCACCATTATATTAATAGTATCATACAGAAGAGCTTCACTGCCCTAGAAATCTTCTCTGATCTGCCTATGCATCTTCCCCTCCCACCTAACCCCTGGCAACTGCTGATCTTTTCAGTTTTAGTTTTGCCTTTTATAGAATGTCATGTAGTTGGAATCATACAGCATGTGGCCTTTTCAGATTGGTTTCCTTCACTTAGTAATATGTATTTAACTTTCTTCTATGTCTTTTTAGGGCTTGATAGTTCATTTCTTTTTGTGCGTGCTAAGTTGCTTCAGTCGTGTCCAACTTTGAGCAGCCCTATGGACTGTACTCCAGGCTCCTCTGTCCATGGGGATTCTCCAGGCAAGAATCCTCCTCCAAGGGATTGCCCCGACCCAGGATCGAACCCAGGTCTCTTATGTCTCCTGCCTTAGCAGGCAGGTTTTTAGCGCTATCTGATGGTCCACTGTCTATATGGCCATAGTTTATTTATCCATTCACCCACTGAAGGATATCTTGGTGGCTTCCATGTTTTAGAAGTTATGAGTAAAGCTGCTGTAGATAGCTGTGTGCAGTGTTTTGTGGACATAAGTTTTCAATTCATTTTGGATCATACCAAATTGGATCATACCAATTCATTTTGGATCATACCACGGAGCATGTTTGCTAGGTCATATGGCAAGAGTATGTTTAGTTTTGTAAGAAACTACCAAATGGTCTTCCAGAGCAACTGAAGTGACTGTGCCATTTCTCATTTTCTCCAGCAAGGCTTTCTATGTTTATTTGCCACCTGTGTATCTGCTTTGCTGAGGTGTGTCCATTCAGGTCCTTTGTCCATTTTTAAAATCAGGTTGTCTCTTTGTTATTACTAACAAAGAGTTCTTTGTATGTTTTAGATAACTGCGCTTTATCAGATGTGTCTTTTGCAAATATTTTCTCTCACTTTGTGGCTTGTCTTCGCCTCCTCTTGACATTATCTTTTGAAGAAGTTTTTAATTTTAATAAAGCATAGGTTATCAATTATTTACTTCATGGTTCATGTCTTTGGTGATGTATTTAAAAAATCATCACTATTCCCAAATTTATCTAGACTTTCTCCTACATTATCTTCTAGGAGTTTTATGGTTTTACATTTTACATTTTTTAGGTCTATAATCCATTTTGAGTTAATTTTGTAAAGAATGTAGGTCTGTGTCTAGATTCACTTTTTGTGTGTGTGATGTCCAATTGTTCCAGCACCATTTATTGGATTTTTTCAATTTTTTTCCCTACATCTACTGATATGATCATATTACATTAATTGGTTATCAAATGTTAAACTAGCCTTGCATATCTGGGATAAATTCAGTCAGTGGACATGGTGTATAATTCATTCTGTACATTTTTGGATTTAATTTGCTAGTGTTTTGTGGTGGATTTTTACATCTATGTTCATGAGAGATATTGATCTATAGTGTTTTTTCCTCATGATGTCTTTGACTGGTTTTGATATTTGGTTGGTCCCAAAGAATGAATTAAAAAATATTCCCTCTGCTTCTATTTTTTAGATGAGATTGTAGAGATATAACTTTTTCCTTAAATATTTCATAGAATTCACTGAACCCATCTGGGCTTGGTGCTTTCTGTTTTGTAAAGTTATTAACTATTGATTCAATTTCTATAACATATTCTTTATTGCTTAGTTGCTAAGTCATGTGACCCCATGTAGCCCACCAGGTTCCTCTGTGGGAACCCCTTGTAGCCCACCAGGTTCCTCTGTCCTTGGGATTTCCCAGGCAAGAACAATGGAGTGGACTGGGTTGCCATTTCCTTCTCCAGTGGATCTTCCCAACTCAGGGATAGAAACCAGATCTCCTGCATTGGCAGATGGATTCTTTACCACTGAGACACCTGGGAAGCCCATAATAGATAAAGGCCTATGTAATGGATTGCCATGTATGGCTTATATTTTAACAAACAGTTTGATAAAAGTATTCAATGCCTCTCCTTTGTGCCAGATATTGTGCCAGAACAATAATACACAATATATGATTTATTCTCATTACAACTCTGTGAAATGTCATCATCCATGTTCTACAAATAAGGAAAGTAGGCCAAGAGAAATCAAGTAACTTGCAAACAGTCACAGAGTTAGTAAGTCATAGAGCTAATTCTCCGTCTCTAAACCACACAAATGTTTGAGGAATGTTTTGGTTCCCTAACTAAAAGTCTTTACCTAAGTTAAAAGTAGGGTTATATTTTCATTATGAGAGCATAGTAATTGATCATTCATTTACCCAATAACTATATTTGGAGTGATTTCTTTCTATGTTAATAGCACTAGGATGTGAGTTTTTGGTGAAGCTAGGGTGTGAACTTTTGGATAGAGAGAAAGAAATGTGTTAGTGATCTAATTAGCTAATGTTTCAATGATTTTATCTATTTTCTCACATTTTTTTTCTCTGAACATTCTGACATTATATTTAGCCTCATTTTATAATCTGTAAAATGGGAATAATACCTTTCCAAGGCATTCTTATGAGGATTAAGTTAGTTAGTCCATGTTTTAAAATAAGCTAATTTCTGGAACGTAGTTAATGCTTAATGTATGTGAAAACAGAGTAGCAATTCAAAACAATGCTGAGTAAAAACCCTATTTTGCTATAATAATATTGAAAATAATAATTATAGGGAGAATAATTTAGCTATCTAACTGATATTATCTTCAAACAATATCAAACTACAAAATATTTTGATAGAATCAATTAAAACTCAACTTCCATTCACATTTATATAACTCCAATGTAGAACTGACTATATTTAATTTTTTAATCTGTTCAATTAGCACCATGTACTATAATAATCACCCACTGGAGTAGAAATCAATTTCTACAATTGTGTAGACAATTCCATGATTTTAATTGTTACTAATATTAATAATAATCTGAACTTAGCAGAAGCTCTTTATCTTCAAAACTGTAAATGTTTTATTGTTAAATGAGTAGTACTTCATTTAGCTTGTCCAAGAAAAGCTCACAAGGTATGATTGTCTAGATAATTAGTTAAAACAATGAAATTAATTTTAAAAGGAGATTACAAGAAACAAATGCTATTAAAATTATAATTGTTGTGGAGCAATACACTTTTCCACTCAAGGATGCATTTCTAATGCTTATCATCTATTTGATTTTTTAAGAAAACCAGAGTGCTTCAGAATGAACAATTTCAGTTTAAAAATACTATAAGTGTAATATGTTGAGGCCGATTATTTACAAAACATATTATCATTTTATAAAGAAAACACATACATTCCCTTGGTGTGTTTAAAATTAAAAAAAATTCAACTTACCCATAAATTTTCAGAAGCCCATTTCATCTGCTATTATCAAATAATCATCTAGTATATATATGTTATATTAACGTTTGTTAACCCTTTTGGGCACTATAGTCTAGGCACCAGTCTAAACATTTACATTATTATCTTATCTAATTCATTCAACAACCCAATAGGTAGGCACCCTTGGGACTCTATGCAAAAGTGATAACACAGTAATGGTAATAGAATATAGATTTCTTCCTTACAGAGCTTAAAATCTACTTAAGGAAGTGAGATATAAATACATGAAAAGCAAAATAACTTAGCTATTAAAAAATATAAAGTGAGGTATGATAAGCTAGAGCCTAATTACCAATTAAATAGTGCACTAAGTGTATTGAGGACAGGAGAGGGAGAATCCCAAACTGAAGAGTAGTTGGTAATAATAGCGACCAATATTTTACAAGCAATTATGCATGTCAGCACTGTTC